AAGTCCCAATAGAATTGACTCATCAACACTTCTTCGTCCCAATTGATGTCGCATGCTAATTGCTTGAAGTCTGATGCATAGACTGATGTAGAGTGCATCCCTTGTCGTAGTGACCGGATCTTTGTTGTAGCCCATCGAACCTTGTCGTGTTCACCAAATGCTTCCGCAAACGCCTCCAAAAAGATTTCAAAGTTGTTTAGTATGGACGATCGTTTCTCAAACAAAGGAGCAAACCATAATAGAGCTTGCCCTGTAAGTAAGGTTCTAACAAGCCCAACACGTGACTCCTCCGTTGGATGGCGTTCGGACTGTAAAACTGTTATCAACCTGATTTGGTTGACGAATCCTCGAAACTTAGAACACGTACCATCGAACTTGTCTGGAAGGCTAACTCGGGGCTCCTTATGTTGTAGAACTAGTGGTGCTTATCGAACCTGAAGCAAAGTTGCTTCTCCAAGTGCAGAAGTTTGAGGCTGGTGCAACCTAGATTGTGCCATCCCAGATGCTCCATCATTATAAAGCCTTGCTACGACTCCTTCAATCTCTGTAGTTCTTTACAATAATGTAGCGAGAGCATTCATGATAGCATCCAACTTGGACTCCAAACTTTCCGTCATACTAATGTCTTGGCCCCCGGCCATTCTAAGAGAAGGACAGAAATGACTCTACAAGAAGACAATATTGGTTTAGAGAAGGGTACTCCGCAACCTCTAAAATGCCTTAAGAGCTTCAAGAAAAGGGGTAATCCACTCTCTCCAAGAAGAATAAGACTCCAATATTGTAACAAAAGAAGTATCAATTTAGAGGAGGGTAATCTGCAAATTCTAAAATGCTAGTATACTTCTAAGCAGAGGGGTAATCCACACTCTAACAAAGAAGAAATTAGCTCTGATATCTTAGGTGAGTGTAGTCTCGACAAACTGTCACGGACACAAAAATACAGATTCGAGATCTAACAAGAAGTTCAAGAGGAAGTGGCAAGAATTAGATTAATCAGATGAAAACAATACTAGAGAGATGAGCTAGAGCTGCAAGAGATGTGTTGTCAAGACTGAAGAACTCTTCAGCCTCGATTCTATTATATATTTCTATTTAGGAAGCTTCTCAAGCAACTTCTATCAACTAGGAAGCTTCTCAAGCAAGTTCTACTAACTAGGAAGCTTCTAGAAGGTTCCAGAGACTTACTTCTCGAAGGTTCTAGAAACTTATCTCTAGAAGGTTCTAAGGACTATGTCCCTAATATCTTTTACTAACTAAAAAGCTTCTAGAAGGTTCCAGAGACTTGCTTCTAGAAGGTTCTAGAAACTTGTCTTTAGAAGGTTCTAAGGATTACATTCCTAACATTTGAAATGGTGTATCCTAAGAAGTCAACTTGAGTAGTATGAAATATATATATTTTTTATTTTGGCATAGAGTCATGCATCTCTTAGTTTTTGTAACACACAACAAATATGAAGTCTATATTCTTCTATATTCTTAAAATAGATTAAGATGTCGTCTAAATAATAAACAACAAAATCATCTAAAAACTCCCAAAAGACATCATTCATTACATGTTGGAATGCTGCTGGTGCATTTGTAAGTTCAAAAAGTATGACGCTGTATTTCAAATGTCCATACCTTATTTGTAACGCTGTCTTCCATTCATCTCCTTCTTTGATGCGTACCAGATTGTATGCTCTTCATAGATCTGTTTTTGTATAGAACTTAACTTGATTTAATTGATCAAGGAGTTAAGATATCAAACGTAGTGAGTACTTATTTTTGATGGTGATTTTGTTGAGTCCTCAACAATTAACTCACATTTATAATGATTCATCTTTTTTCTTGACAAATAAAATAAGAGCTCCTATTAGAGATTTGGCATGGCGTATGAAGTTCTTGGCTACATTTTCTTCAATATACTTCTTGAGTTTAGCCAACTTATTTTGTGATAAACTATAGATTGGTCCAAATGGTGGTTGTGCTCCTTCTTGAAGGTCAATTGAGCAGTCATAGGAACAATGTTCTGGAAGAGTATTCTCATTCTTCTTCTCAAATATATCTTAAAAATCTTGATATTTGGCTTGGAATGCCACTTGAAGTCTTTCCACCAATAGAAAGAAGTGCGGCATAAATGACATAAGGTGATCCTTCTTTTGTAGCATGTAAGAAAGCTCTTATACCTACAAATACAGGTTTCATTATACTAGACTTATGACTTTCTACTTGATTAAGTATGCTCTTAGTTATACTTTCAGAAAAATTAAGACTACAAGAAGTCCAATCTTTTTTAGGATTATATTTTTCTAGCCATGAAAAACCTAAAATGACTGGATTAAAAGGAGATCTAATGATATTAAATATTACAAAGCTACTATGACCATTACTTGTTATTTCTATAGGAAGGGTTTCATGAGTAACATCTCCTCAAGACAATGGACGACCATCTATGACTTCTACATGAACATGTTTAATTTTCTTCACTAAAAATATATTATGTCTTTTAGCAAATTCTTCATGTAAGAAACATGCTGAGGCTCTTGAATCTAAGAAGGCAGAGGCTTTAAGATGTTTAGGTCCTAAAATAATATTTATTGTAATACAAAGAGAGGATTTTGAGGAGAGAATAGGACCTTCACTTGGTGTTGTACAAGGTTCCAGCCGCACGGTCCCTATAATAGCTGGACAAACTCGTTTTCTAACATACTATCTTCTTTGACAGCCGTACTCTTCATTTTATAGTTGTGTCACTTCTTTGAGTGATGTTGAATAGTGTGCTTAGGTTCTCCACAATATAAGCATAATCCTTCCAGACGACGACAAGTCTTTTTTTGTTCAGTAAGAGATTTCAAACATACCACATCAATTTGCATATCTTCTACTTTTGAATGTATGTATTGAAGAGATAATGGTGTTGCCATTGAATTATAGTAACATTGAGATCTACCTGTATGGTTCTCAGATCAAAATTCAAATAGATGATTGTCACACTTCACAGCAAAGTCAATTGCTTGACTCAATATTTGAGGATCAGGTAAATTGAGCATTAATTTTTTTACCTCATATTGTAATTGATAGAGAAATTGGCTAATAAGTGGAACATCATCCCACTTGATATCAATTGCAAGTTGTCAAAATTGTGAAGCATACAACATTACTAATCGATTACCTTATCGCAAAATATGGATCTTGTTGGTTGCAACACGAATTGCATCATGTTTTCCATACATGAATCAAAACTCCACTAAAAAAGCTTGCAGATTATCCAATATTGGATCTTGTCGTTCAAGAGAAGATGAAAACCATGATAATATTGAACCTGAAAGATGTGTATCAATGAATCTAACTTGTGATCTTAGAATTGGATAGTTTTGGGGTTGAAGTTCAATCATAAGTTATACTTGATTAATAAATCTTCTAAACTTTGATTTGGTGCCATCACACTTCTTGAGTAGGGAAATTCTTGGTTTTCTAACATAAGAAGCGTGTTCTACCATATGAGAAGGGATATGATTTGATACAGATGTTGAAGCAACTTCAATCATTTTTATATCTTCACTTCCTGTCAATCTTGTTGCTCCTTGTAGTGGCAAATTGAGTTGATGCATTGCTAGCATTAACTCCTTCAATTGCTCTTGCATTTGTGCCATTGCACTCTTCATTTTAGCAAGTTTTGCCATAACAACACTTAGAAAAGAGAAGATGTCTAATATCACTAAAGATAAATAGAAGAGAGGACTTGAAAACAAAGAAAATATAAAAAACAATATCAGTTTAGAAGAGGATAATCCGTAATTTCTAATACGCTTATGTCTTGTCAAGAGAAAGAAGTAATCCACTCTTAATCAAGATTAGACAAAGCTCTGATATTATAAGTGCACTCTTGTCAATCTGTCAAGGAGAAGAACTTGATAAAAAAAATAAAGAAGTGAGACTTTTCTCAAAGAAAGATGACAAAATAGAAATAACTTAAAAAGCTTTTACAAAGTCTTCTTGATAGCTAGTATATATGGAGACAAGAATAAAGTCATGTTTTGTCTTATCAATGCCTTTCTTGTATTTTACTCTTATTTCAAGTCTTTCTAATTTCTTTGTATTTAACAATAATTATTCAAATTCTTTTCAATCTTATGTCTCTTTTTTTTCTCCTTAGTTTCTTTTTTCTTCAATAATATATAAAAATATTATCTTTTGAATTTTACTTAAATTCTTATCTTTCACAATATTAAAGAAATCATAAAACTACAAACTTACTATTTAATATTATTTATTAATTATACAAATTTATTTAAAAATAAATTAAAATTTGAACATGGTATAATATAATTTGTAATTATTTGAAGATTTTCTTTTTAATTTTCTTTTTAATAATATTTGATTATTTAAATATGTGGAAAAAATATAATTTGATGCATTAACATTACAAAGAAAAAATGTGACTTTTAAAATTTATTTTTGCAATTCTTACTTTTGCATTGACAATAATTTTAAATTATACAACCTACCACAAAATTAACTAATTACAAGCATATTATAAAATGTATTTGAAAAGTGTAAAAGCCACATCCCCTGAACTATGTGATGATTAATTTTGAAAGATATGGAATAAGGAATGGAGATAGAAAATGAGGACATGGAACATAGAACAAAAGACAAAGACAAAGGATGGACAAAATTGACCAAGAAATAGTAGTATAATGTGTGGCATTAACAACATGGGGTTGTGGCTTTAACAACTTCCTATATATATATATATTTATAAAAATATTAAAAAATTAGAAATAAAAAAATATTATTAATAAATTATTAACATCCTAAAATTATTAACATCCTAAGAAGAGTTTAAAAAAGTTTTCAAAACATGTCAAAAAAAACACAACTTTATATTTTAACAAATTCAAATAATAATTTCAATTAGGAAAAGTTTTGTCAATTGTTTGCACAAATACTAACAAACAAAAAAATATCTTTCCATTTGTGATTTGTTTTATATAAAACAATTTAAAGAAATAACCTCATTGACCAAATCTACAATTTACTATTTTACTTAAAATTGGAGAACACACTGATTCATCATACTGCAAACTTGTGTTCTCATTGGAAAAGCTTGAATGCACACACACATCATAGATCAAGTATATTGTTCTCAAAAATCCCTACGGTGCACACTTCCTCTTGCACCACATTGTGCATATATCACATTTTAGCTATTCCCCACACAAAGTAAATCCAGAGTAAATTGAAGAGGTTTCAAATCACTAGCATAATGGACAACCTTCAAAAATGGCAGTGTCGGCTTTGGAAGCCATTCCCCAAAAGTTTTGCAGGTTTCGTCAAAATCAACACACACTGCTTCTCGACAACACATAATTGCAACATACCTTGCGTCTCCATGTACTGCATTCTGCTGCGGCAGCACATAGAGACAGCAAATGTGGCCGATTACAATGACAGTGTACCCACATTGATTGTGAGGTGATGTAGAAGGGGCCGCAGAAGTTAAGGAAATAACTTCATTCGGAGAAAGAAAGACTTCAAAATAACGAGGTTCGAAGGCTAAGAATATGAAAGAGTTTGTGTGGAATGATGCGGAGATGCTTAGGAGAGAGAGAGCGAGAAGAGTGGGCCAGCTACGAAACCAGTTGCAAACCTCGTGTTTCGTCTTGACACACAACCAGGTGTCTAGCGATCCACGCCGAGTGTTCCTCCTGTTGCTTGGTCTCCACCTCCTCCTCCTTCTGTGGCCTCTTCGGCAGCAGATTAGGTTTCGCTTGACTGATGCAATACGCCGTTCCACTGTCATCGTCGCGAAATATGAAAGGGTAGTGCAGACAAGGCTCCACAGACTGCCCGCGCCAACACTGCGCTTGCTCGTCTAGCTCCGGGTGCTCCCCCCGGATGTTCATGATCACGGGTTGGATGCCCGCCAGCGCCTGCGCGACGTACCCAAAAGTGGACCAGCTGCTGGTGGCTAATCTGTCGCAGAAGCTCAGCAGCCAGATTTCCACCATGGCCTTGCACGCTTGATCGTAGGAGTACCGCTCCTCCTTTTCCTCGCTCACCATCACAAACTTCACCTCACCCTCCTCGTCATCTCGTCCATGCCATCTCTCCCGCATCTTCTCCCAGTACACACTTCGCAGCGACGTGACTAGCACCGCTGCTGTCGTCCGGTTGGGCAACACCGCATGCTCTCCCACGCATTTCAAGATTCGCTGGTATACGGTCTCGGAGAAATTTGCGTTATCGCTAACGCCGTGTCGCCGCACCTGGATCCCTACCTGCACTCTAGCCCACGCCATTTCGGCTTGTTGTATGCGCTCTATCGTTTCCCACACACCATTCCTCGGCACGCTCAGGATCCTGCCCAGCTGCGTGAACACCAGTGACACGTTCGGGAACCACAGGCGCAACGTCGGCCAAAACTCCCGGATCATGAACAAGCGCGGCACATAGTACTGATTGCTCTCCCATATCACCCAAGTCACTTTGCGAAGCAGTTCCTGCGACTCCGAGCAGAAAAATGTCCGATCTCCAAGGGTCTGCTCGTGCCGCAGATTGACGTGAACCGAAGTCACGTTCTGGACCTCATTGTTGATCATATCCTGGAGCTTTACAGCGCGCTTCTGAACCGCAAGAGCCAGATGCGAGGGAAGTAGCCAGCTTGTGTTATGGAATGGCTGACACAACAGTTGCGCCAGATGGCCTCGTCTTTCATCGATGACTAAGGCTCGATTGGTGATCAACGCATATGAGAAGGCCGTCACCAACGACAGGAGTCGATTGCCAAGTCCTTCATATCCTTCGTAGTACACTACATATTGGCATGCTGCTTGCATGCTGTCAACATCTCCAACCTTCGTCAACTGGCAATGCGAATGCATGCGGGTGTATTTCACGAGTGCCCTTGTCAAAGGCTCTGAGATCGGGAAGTGATTCTTCTGTTTCCTATACTTATATTGCTGCGACCGACTTAAACATCCCACATTAGGTGTGAACGCTGGAAAATGATCTATTATAGGATGCGGTTCGTGTGTTACAGCATCCAGGAGCTTAGGCCAGAAGTGGGGCATATCTGCGCGCACCCAAACAAACGTCGCGAGAGCACTCAATGTCAATCCCAAAACAAGCCTCGTTATTCTAAGGTTTCGTAACATAGGCAGACTTCTGAAGTCGGGAGTCATCATCTTCAACCCCACAGCCTTTGCACTAGTGCCATGTCAAAATGC